ACAGCATTAATTACAGAACAAAACAAACCTAAACGTAATTTCTTAGAAATGGTTTATATCAACAGAGATAAACACAGCATCAATTACAGAACAGATACGTGTAAACTCAGTCGCAGCTACGCCAATATCATTAATCAAATTCAATACAGATAACATACATATATCATTCCACACATCAAATATCTTTCACATAGTCTAATTGTCCAACAATTTAGCTTTCCTTTTCCTATTTATCCCTTTCTATATAATCCTGAAAGGATAATCTGGCCGAACCATTATCAACTTATTTTTTCCCTTCGTCGGCTCTTTTCACCTCAAAGAAGCCGACGCCTTATACACAAATGTCTTTTCTATACCGACTTCCTTCCCCACCCCTTCAAAATAAAACATATATAATTATAAAACAGCAATATCTAACGGGCACTCTCAACACGACACGCAAGAATGGCACAATTACTCAGAAAACAAACACTTTGAGTGAGTAGAAATACTTTGATTGAAGATAGAAAATATATTTTGCATTGTAAAAATTCCCTTTTCCACATCCTAAATTTATTTGTTAAATGTAAACAATGTTTGTAAATCCCAGGCCCTGAAGATGATCTCCATAAAGATCGAAACGTTGGCACGATAAAGAAAATGTTTTTCTAAAACCTACATCACACCAGACCGCATCTCACGATTTCTGAATAATTATCGATTAACGGTCACTAATCACCACACATTTCTGTAAATATAATCAATTAATACCTCTCATAAGTAAGAACTATCGCCGATTTATGTAGGTTGTTGCGATATTTTTTCAGCGAGTATTACATTATATGAATATAAGAGATTGTTTAAAAATTTTAAAATACCCCGCAATGTATGATTATAAATTATGTTATGTAAATTTTGTTCAGATGACCAAATATTAATTTTTATAAACAAATTAACTTGATAAAATAAAGATAAACAACACATTGTAGATTTTATCTTTTATAATAATTTATATCATTTTTCAATTTCTGTTGTTTATATAAAATATTTTTCTAAATAATTGTTAATGTTAATTATTATGTGTTTTACTGTTGGAAACATTTACATTCACTTTCTATCCGATTATGATAACGTATTTAGTATGAACAAAATAGAAATGTGTTGTCATCACTCTGGTGAACTTGATGGTATGTTGTGTTTATGTACAATCAACATTATTACGTTTTGTAAAGAGGATATTGTCATCTCGTGGAATTAGCAACCTATTAACTTCACTGCCTCAATTCAATTACATAAAGAGATGTCGTGAAAATGTTAATTTATCCTTTAATCATTGTTGCTGTAAATCCCTTTCTGGCGTTTTCCTCGTTGCAATTGAATTTTTGCACTGAATTAATTACTGTGTTTAACGTCGAAATATTCGGCGATGTTGGTCAAAAAATTAATTTTCATTTTTAATTTGAGAGTTTTTTTGTTTGTCAAAACTGGTGAAACTGTTTATTTAGCTAACACGGTTAGGCGCTTCTGATGCCTTCTCAAGCACTTTGGTCTGTGTATGAAAGATCCCAGGTAAATTGCTCAGCTTTTTTCCCTTTAAATATTCATTAGGTTAAGTCGAAGTTATTTCGCAAAACATTTTTTCTGAAGTATCAAAAAGCTAAACTTAGGAAAATAAACAATAAAAATATAATTGCAGTTCATAAAAACACATTTACTGAAAATTAATATTTTTTTATTATAAAATTAATAAACACATCAAGTACTCATTGTATTGCTGTGTTAGATTTAATAGTTTCATTGTCAGGGTTGGTAAATAATGTGAAGCAGCCTTGAACTTCCAAGCGATGGAGAAACTTACTTTCCGTTAACTGTTGTTATATGTCAAATATTTACCACTTACTCAATTTATACTAATTGGCCCTTTCTTAAGCGAAGTTACGTCGCCGATATTTGACATTCGAATGAACAAACTAGTTAGGTACAGATTAATAATATCATTGTTACAAAATAAAAAATAATAAATCATTGTACCTGTTAAGACTTAAATCATGCTAATACCAAAACATAACGACGATAGTGTGTATAAGCATATTTGATAGCTGAGGGATTTGGTCGAATAAACGTCTATCTTACATTTTTTATTTGATCTAATTCTTAGGAAAATAACCTTTTAAGTGACCTTTTTTATATATTTCATAAGCCAATGTTCGTAGAATCTAGCAAAAATTTCTGTTTGTCTTCTTTGTTTTGATTTTAGTGCAAGTTTTTAAAAATTGAAACGGCTTTTGTTACAATTTGTTGTTATTTATCTAAAAATAAAATTTCAACGATTTTTATGACCTCAATCTACTATTGGATGACGAAATCTTAGATAATTTATGCTCAAAAATATACAAAATCGATAATACAAATTTGAAATCAGAAATTCGCCTACTGAATGCCCTAAATGCATCGGTTTATGCTACAAAAAGTAAAAAAAAATCATACTTGCATGGAGAGGCTGCGGATATGGCATCATCGATTTCAATGAGGTTTTTTGTGATGATGCCAGTTTGAAAAATATTAGACACAGCTCAAGAGTTCTGGCCAATAAGCAATAAGAGTTGAAAATTCTTATATAATAGGTTTGTGTCCTTGTTCTTCGTGATAGGGGGTATATTTGTATTATTTATTTTTTATAAATCAGTCGATTCAATTTTTTACCTTGACTAAATAAAACTTTTTTGATACATAAAATGTTACAAAAACAAGACACCTCCAGTGAAATACTCAAACAAATTTTTTAAAAATAAAATAAACGGAATCGTTTTATACGTATTTAAAAGCACTTAATAAACGAATTTTTATAGCATACGTTTTTTGACATGAGCAGCCGGGGGCATATTTTTTGATATTGTCATATATCGGTTATAGACTAATTAAGGTCTTACATTTTACTAAATTTAAAGACACCTTTTAGTTTTATTTTAAATATAATTTTGAATATTATAATAATTTTAAAACTGTTTAATTGTTTTAAATATTACTGTATTTATTAATATTCATGGGGGCCGTCGGTGGCCGCAAAGGTTTAGGCGTTGACACGGCGCTCATCACTGTAAGGTAAAGGTCCCGGGTTCGAATCCAGCGGCCCTGCATTCGAACCCGACATACTTACAAACGTTTTTTTTTTTTTTTTTTCAAAAACACCGTTTTATACGACCTCTGCTGTTGCGAACCCTCGTAAGAAATAAATAAAGAAATAAAAAATATCATGTATAAAGACAATACATATACAGGGTGTTCGGCTAATCGTGTGACAAACTTTGCCATACATTCTACATTCAAAATGGAAATAAAAATTCCTAACTAACAATGGTCCGAATCTCAACAGTTTTGGATTTATTACATTTCTTTGATGTTTTAAGATTTCAAGACCTTGCTTCAAATAAACAATGATAATTCCAAAACTGAAAGATTTTGGACAATTCCGTTGATACCATTGAAAACTAAGTTAAATTTGCAATATGATGTGATCAATACTAAACTTGTAAACGTTGGTGAAATAAGAGTTTTAGTTGCCAGAACATTAAAATATTTTTTTTCAATGTTGAAAAATTTACTATGGTGATTTTAAACTACTATTTCCAAACCTGGAGACCAGCATCTTTCAGAAAAGTACTCCTTTTTTAATGGTGTAATTGCTTCTTTAATTACTTTTTTCAAAGATGAAGAAATTGCTGAAGGAAAGTAAAGGAAAAAAATGACCTCTGCTGTTGCGAACCCTCGTAAAAAAAATTAATATTCATCTTAAAAACTTATCCCCAAAACTAAGAGCTTATTCCAATCAAAATTAAAAACCTTAGTTAAAATATGCTGGTTTTTACAAGTCCATGTAAACATTAATGATTTATTTATAAAGTAACAAATTCATTTCCTATAACTTTCTTAAATTAGAATAAAGGTATAATAGGTACAATAAAAGTGTAAGATAGGTAATAATAATAAAAAATTAAAAATACTGTTATTATTTTGTCCGAACACTTTAATTGTTAGCTATTTTTGGGGTGAATTTGTAAAGTAATATTTTGACAATTTTTGCTGGCAAGAAGATGAAAAGATGTACATATAATACACGATTTCATACAGTAAAGTTCCAGTGATCATTGTGAAGAAAGTTCAACATTTGCTCTAATTCCTTTGAATGTAGCGTTTTCAGAATATGTCTTGAAAAAATATATACAACACCTAGTCCTGTTATGTAGATTTTGGTTGAAATGAAAAAGCTAGTGACACGAGCGGGATTCGAACCCATGACCTTCGACCAAATACACCGCTGCTCTACCACTTGAGCTATCGTAACTTCGATCCACTCGGACACCAATTCCCCATCTCAACCAACCTTTCGAAAAATGGCAAAAAGGAGGAAAATTCGAAAGGTCGTTGGTTCGAATCCCGCTCGTGGCACTAGCTTTTTCATTTTGACCAAAACCTTACATAGAGAATCAAATAGATTACACGACATTTGAAAAATGGCAAAAAGGAGGGCAAATTCAAAAGGTGGGGTTGAGATGGAAAGTTAGTGTCCGGGTGGATCGAAGTCACTATAGCTCAAGTGGTAGAGCAGCGGCGTATCTAGCCGAAGGTCGTGGGTTCCAATCCCGCTCGTGACACTGACTTTTTTATCTCATCTAAAAAACCTTACATAAAAGTATTAATTAATTGAAATAAGTAATTTGGTCAATAGACCACTCAATATAATGGATATACAATAACTCAGAATGATAGAAGATAAAATTATTCACTTTTAGGCTGTTGTTATGTAACGTTTACAATGATATTGTAGCTTTAAAGATTTATAGTTAAAATAGTAGTTGTTTAACTAAAATTTTACTGGTTGAAGCCGTTGTGAGATTTATAACCCAGATGTATTTAGTCGCTGGTCGTGAAGTTTAACAGCTTCAATGACTTTCAATCTATTGGAAACGTCAATAATTCGAACTAACCCGAGTGATTTGAGAAATTCTATAATTAAACCTTACCGACAACGTTTAGCCTGAAGGCTTGAGAGATTTTGGGCTCGGTGCTCACTTGACATTCGTAAATGCCCGAATCCCTGAGCTGCGGCGATGCGATTTTGAGCGTCCATTCATCTGACCCGTCCGAGTGTAGCGATTGGAATCTTTGGTCGTTTGTGTACGTGAGAAGGGCAGCTGTGAGAATGTGCAAGTCTCTTTTGCGGATCCACGATACCTGAAATTCATGAATTAATTAGAATCAATTGGAAATATAAGGTTTTCTTGGAAAATAAAAGCAAGAAAATATTATATCCTAGAGTTTGTTTGTTTTTTAGTAACGCAGAGAAACGAACACTATGAGCTTTTTTATATCGTTCTATTTTGAGAGCTACTGAAAAAACCAAGAGGTTATAAAACTCAGTAAAAGTATACTTTCGATTCCTGTGGGTATTTTATATTCCCCTTTTCTTCAACAGAGTAGGTTCTTTTGTATAATCATAATTTTGTATATACCTCTGGTAAAATAAGTCATAAAATTAAATTATTTCGATATTATGCTGATTATTAAATAAAAACCTGTTTAATTATAAATGTTGCAATTAGTAAAACTGAATACATTTTATTGTTTGATTGTTATTCACCGTATATTTTTACATTGCCGAGTTTTGACCACCATCATTGAATAAGTAATGAGAAAATTTCAGACAAATCATGGTTATTTTTGTTTTAAAGCAAAACGTTCGTTAAATAAAAAATGACTATGCTTAAATCCAGCCAAAAACGTTAAAAAGAAGAACGTAATACAATTCAAAAATAAATATCATAACATTGTAAAACTGGTAACTTTTTATATGTATTAAAAAAACCAAACTCCCGAGACATGAAAAGTTTAACTTTGTACCTCATTTCCCTTTCTCCATTGTGCCTTCCACGAAAATTTGGCATGCCCAAAACATCCGAAACATTGCTCAACTTGTATCCATGTAAAACCTGCTTACGCCTTTTATTCAATTGGCTACGACGTCAAACACTTTACTTTATCCAGCATGTTAATTATAAATACCAATGCAAGAGTTGTATGCGAGCTGTTGTTTGCAAGGCTTAAACCCGAGTATCCTTTAAAAGCTCTTACAAGTTAAACTCATAACAAATACTTTTTAAACTAAAGGATAAAAATACATTCATTATTTTTCGTGTTCCGCTTGACCAATTAATAACATTCAATTAATTAAGGTTTTCAAGTTGAAATAAAAAGTAGAGTAGCGGCGTATCAAGCCGATGGTCGTGGGTTCGAATCCCGCTCGTGACACTGATTTTTTATCTCAATTTAAAAAACCTTAATTAATTGAAGGTAAAATACATTTATTGTTTACAATTATCATTAATTAATTGCAAACTGCAAGATTGCAAAATTAATTTCGATTCAATAATTTCTTTTGTAAAACATTCCTCCAGTAGACATTATATGCTGTTGTCAGATCATATTATCCTTTTCATGGCAAACAGGACAATAAATAATCACGTTCGTTACGGGCGTCGTTCTTTGTAGTGTTGGTTTGTTATCGAATCGAGTCGGTTCCTCGGGTATTTAGTAACGCTTTGTCAACGTTGATGATGATGATGACAGATAGACGGAAGTGGTTTTTTTGTTCTCCACTCACTGCTGAGTTTTTTGCACAAAATATATTTTATTTATACAAGCCTTCTGGTTTATTGTTCTTTTCAAGTTTCTTAGTTCAATGCAATCGACTCGATACTTCTCCTAAGAAGTACTAATTCGTTTACAGTCCTTGCTACAATTCCTTTTCCTGGGTTTTCTTTGTATCCCTGTCTTCATTGGGTGGTTGTTTCGCATTAGAAGATTTTGTGTTTTCTGTTCCTTCCTTCTCATTGCATAATCTACCAATATGATCATCATTCAATACCTTGTTGTGCAGATGTTTTCTCAGATGCCAGGGACCGGTAAATAGTCCTATCACTCTGCTGAGGCTAGCCCTGTCTAATTGAACTAGTGAGCTTGACAGTCATGGGGAGGATCGTTTAGGCCTAAGCTTGTGTGTCTAGCTCCTCTAGAGGATATCCAGTTTTGCTTTTTAAGGTAGATTCTATGTTGGAGGATTCTGTCTTTGTTGTTGTTACCCCAAGAACAGGTTCAGGGCCTATATATGGTCTTGCAGGTCATCCCCTCCCCGAAGTGTCAGCTTTTCGGTCAACCAAAATTCCCTTGTGTCCTAGTACCCAAAATATAATCATCATATGGTTGTTTTTATTCAGGTTTTGGAGATTTTGGATGTATTCACTGATTAATTTTGATGTGATTTTTACATGGTAATGGTTTAAAAGCTTGGCTACCCGACCTTATAAGGATGTTTTGTCGCATTTTTTAATTTGCCTTTTTGACATTTTTTACGATTTTTTGAAAAGAAAACATTAGAATTTTCCCCATAATAGATATATTCTTTTTATCTTAATTATCGTGGAATGTTCTTTTCTTTATGGTATTTTTTTTCTTCACAAAAATACTTTCATTTTAAGGTATAATCGAAGACAGTATATCAAATGGATTTCTTTGTTCATCTTTTTGGCTTTTTGCTCTCTCTCGAATTTTGTTTGGTACATTTTTTTAGTTAAACGTGAATAATTAGTAAATACGTAAGGACTTTTTATATAATTTTGTAAAAAATTGTTAATAAATAGTAAATATAGAAATAATTATTGAATTTGTAAATTAATGTTTTTTTACCACACATTCTGATTCTGACTGGCACTCTCAACACGACACGCAAGAATGGCACAATTACGAAGAAAACTAAAACTCTGAGCCCTGAAGATGATCTCAATAAAGACCGAAACGTTGGCACGATAAAGAAAATGTTTTTCTGAAACCTACATCACATCAGACCGCATCTCACGATTTCTGAATAATCATTCGGATTTTATTTATTTGAATAATATGCTTAAAAATATGTTTTATATATAAAACTGCGTTTAATTATTTGTAATGATTACAATTGGATACATAAGTAATAAACTTCAAGTAAATATATTTCTAAATTTACTAAGGTTTAGTTAAGTTCGTCAATTTTTTCATGATATACGGGCGGGCGTACGTAATATATATTGAGTGGGTAATAATTAATATTGCTGGTTTGATTAACCTTCCCCATGTACGGACATCGTTCTCATGCGCGAAAATCTAAAAAATTGCAATTTTTAAGCAAAATTTTAATTAATGGTCATTTATAAACACAAATATATTTTAACACTAAAAAAAATAATTCATTATTTTGAGAGTGTCTTTACAAATCAGTGTCGTAACGAACATGTAAACCGAACGACATAAAAGTAGCATTCTGTTTTATACTGGCTCAAGACGTAGCAAGACAAGCGAGACCGACTAACAACTGCCATAATACACTGACAGGAACACATCTAGAACAATGAACATTCATTTTCTTGACTCGGTTCGCATTCCTGTTTGCGATGTTCATAAATTATAACCTGCTATGTAAAGGAGTACGGACATAAAAAATACTTATTGTCTTATATTTTACAGTGGTTTATTCATAATTTTAAAGGGTACTCTTTATGTGGCTGTAATTTTTTTGGAAGGAAATTCTTAGTTAAACTTTGTTAGTTCTATTTCTTCCGTTGTCCCGTAAAATTATTTTATTATCGCTAAAATTTCCCTTAGAAACATAAAGGAATTGCATAAGTTTATACATAAACTTAAATTCTGATTTAATTAGAACTTAAGTTTATGTATAAATCATCAATAATAAAAAAATGCCTACAATTACAATGAAACATTTTTGTAAAAACACATTAGAAAGCATAATAAACGCTTCTTTATTATAAGTCGTTGAATTAACTTTAAAATATGTTAAATTATTTTCAAAGTGTGTGTGTATCTATTTTATTACTTTTTACAAAAATAATTATGACTGAATGTCAAAGTTTTCTATATTATCTGATCTTGTGGTTTATTTTGTTTGCTATGTATTAGTGGTTTCTTATAAAAAGTAGTGCTATTCAATAAAGCTGATTCAACTTAAATGTATTTGCCATTTAACTATTTCTATCAAGAAAACGTTTTAAATTCAAGGAAATGATTTAACACTGTTTTAAAAGGATAAAAAGTGTTAATAATTTAAGGTACAAAAAATATTATTTTTTTCATACCCGCTTTAATAAATAACGCAGTAATTAATAATAAATAAAAATTAAAAAGATGCCACATTTACATAATTATATGAATGTCCTCCCCCCATGTAAGGGTCGGTGCAAAACGACAATTGTCCATTTTTTATCAAAAACTATTTAACTAGCTTTAATTATTGTGAATTGTACTATCGATTGCAAAAGAATAATAGAACCCTGAAAATCGTATTCTAAAATTCTGCACTATACTTCGAAGCCTTCATCAGAAGGCTATACTTTTAACCGCAATATATAATGACATCCTATGCACCATTACCTTTCTTCTCTTATGAAAAATTCCGTAGTAATTCTCATTCCCATAGCTTACATTTCATTCATACATATCAGCCTTCTTCCTGTTATGTCCAAACTCCTCGAATCATGCCTTCTCACCAAGCAAAGCTTGGGAGTCGTTGACACCTATTCTTCCAGTCCAAAAAACAAAGAACATTGTTTTTGGTGAGTTTCTGGATATAGCTCAACCTTTTGATAGGCTCTGGTACTCTATTATCTTTTATACTTAAACGCTTTCTACCTACACGTTACTACCTTAGGAATCGTGTGCAAACAACCGCTGCTTTAGAGTGAGATAAGGCAATGAATAATCAAATATCAGACCGATACAAGCCGGCTTCCCACAAACAAGAGAACATTTTTAGTCTCATCCTGAAAAGCATTCTTACTGCTAATGTTTGAAGCCCTAAAAGATGAATATAGACATGCGACACCCGTCTTTATCGACGGGTCCAAAACGGCAGAGGGCGTGGGGTGTGCCGTGTACACGGAGGGAGAATTTAAACAATTACCGCTCCCTCCTGCCGCAAGTGTGTACACGGCGGAACTAAACGCCATATCCCTCGCACTGAGCATGATAAAAAATAAAAACGACAACTCTTTTTTGTTATGTACCGATTCACTCAGTGCGGTCCAGAAGCTCAGGAGAAGAGCCTCCGTGGACCCCTTAATAAATAATATAAAAGAACAGTTAAAAGGGATCGATGCAGTTGGGAAGAAGGTCGTGTTGGCATGGGTTCC